CCGTCATGTGTGACTACCCCGAAAATTCTTCATGTGTAGCCACATACGCTTTCTGCGACGTGGTGCCCAATGATACGCCATTTCTAGATGAAAACAACTGTGACAAATATTACGAATGTATCAAACAAAGAACCAGCGTTGTCCTGACCGAAAAACAGTGCGATACTGGCAAATACTTTGACGTGACGACGGCAACTTGCTTGCCAAAGGGTCAGGTTAATTGCTCTAAACATCCCTACCCCAAGGACGTATGCGGCACAACGAAACTTGCCATCAGAGATCATTTCGTGAGTGATGATGCGACATGTCGTGGATATTTCTATTGCCAAGATCTCGGCGTTGGTAAACCAGACTCCACACCTATCTGGGGACAGTGTCCTGTCACTAAATTCTTCGATTCAAAGGAGGAGGCTTGCAAGTCCCGCACCAGCGTTCAGTGTGATGAGGATCGTTGCGATGGTCGAGATGACGGCTACGAATTGAGTTCGAAAACAGGTTGCCAACATTATCTTGTTTGCGAGAACAGTCGGACTGTGGAGGAGAGAGAATGTAGCGAGAATATGTGGTTCGATGCTGCAGCGGAGAAATGCACCTCAACGAGGCAATCGTATGCAGCGTGCGCCTAAAGCTAACTTCGCATTAATTATACAATACAGTTTTAAGAAAGACTTGCGATTAATGGGTCACTGGAGAGCAAATTACTTTCTGATTATTTCTTATTTTTTGTTAAAATATGTATAATGAAATCATTCACATTTTATTTAAAATGTGAGAACTAAGGTTTTTAACAAGGCGAATTATTTAATGTATAAGGTGATAGCTGGAGTACAAAAACAAAAATTTACAAGTATTTTGATTTTGCGGCGCGAACTGTCCAAATCTGTAAGAGTGTGTGTGGAAATGCGAACAAAATAGTTGCGCTCCCTAACTCGCAAGAAGTTGCAAAAATTTACAGGAATTTACCAGAAAGTGCTCTCGTACTCGGTTCACTGGCTTCTTTTGCCTTTTCACAGTTTTACAGGTTTTAACCCAGAAAAGTTGGGGAACGCAACTATATTTCAATTTTGACATTCTAAGTCGTTAGACGAATAAAAAAAATCAAATCAGCTTTTCTAATATCATCACTTTATATGAATTCGCCTTGGCTTTTAACACCTTTTTATTAATATTTCTACTTTCAAAAGTCAGTTTGTGTTTTTAGGCATTATTCTTTGCGGGAGATTAATAAATTTAAAAGGTATCGTAATCTTTGCTTTCGGCTGTTCTGCATTGACTATTGCGAATGTAAAAATTAATGCGGGAGCTATGCGGTTGTCGCCGCTATATTGTAGTGGTTAGCAGTGCGCGCTACCATTCCGCAGGGCCTCAAGCCCGGCTCAACCCAACATAAAAAATAAGAAATAAAAAAGTTTTTTTTTCTGATACCGATCGCCCCTCGCAAGGTATTTTATGGCAAACCGCCGAGTGGTTTTCTTCCACGAAAAACGGAGTCAGCGTTAAACTGTAGGTCCCTCCCTTTTGTCTAACAACATCAAGGCGTACGCCACAAATCGGAGGAGAAGCTCGGCCAAACACTTACATATGTATATGTAAGCGCCAATCTATTATATATTATTATTATGCGGTTCCGAATGAAAAAGCGAATATTCGCAACAATTCTGAAACATATATGTTCATATGTAAGTATGTAGACGATACAACAAACAAAAACAAAAAAACAGTTAGCCATACACCCTGAGCTCAAAGTATTTTTCCAAGGCAGTTAAAAAAAAACTTTATCTATATATATTAGGGATGTAAAACAAAAAATACTACGATGTTTCTTCTCCATTTAGTGCATTGAAATTTAGCATCGATTCATATCGATATATCGTATAAAAACATCGATACTTTCGATGCATCGAATGAAAATATCAAGAGTTTCTTTCAATTAAAAATATACAACAAGAAAATGAAACAATCGGAGATTCGATAAATGTTTAAGTATTAACTCACAGTAAAATATCTTTATTGATTTAAATAGTTACTAGTCCCAGTTTTGGTTGGTCTTTTGAGAAGCTTTCGAAAAAAGTTTTTGGAAGGTACTGAAGTGGCGACCATAAGCATAGTAAAGTGTGCCAGCTAGCGATTATATTTCGGTACACTTATTTGGTAATTTATTACCATAATTTTCTTTTATTTTAAGCCTTTTGAGTGAGAGCTTATGAAGTTTTTTTGAGTCGATTTCCTTCAAACTCAAAAGGTATACTACCAGCATGATGGACAATACACCTACCGAAAAACGCAACCGCTAGATGGCGCGTGAGTCGAGTTATTTATAAAACTCGTAATTATGAACCGATTTCGTTCAAATTCAAAATGTAATCTACTACCTACATGATGAAAAAGCATTTGCAAAAAATGGGCTCGCTAGGTGGTGCTGGAGTCGTGTTATTTATAAAAATCGTATTTATGAACCGATTTTGTTAATGCAAATTCGAAACGTTTGTTATTTTCATGATCAGTCAAATTGTCGAAGGTTATAACTTGCATATATGGTCCTACTATAGGCTACTAGAAAACGTGCTGGTGGCGCCGGAGTAGAGTTACTTATAAAAGTCATATTTATTAACCGATTTCGTTCAAATTCGCAACGTCAGCTACCTTAGGGTTGCTAACATTTTCTAAGAAATTTATAGTACTTTTTCAAAAAAATCTGAAAAATATAGTATACTTGAAATATGTATAGTATTTTTTTTTTTAAAGAAAAAGGAAAAATGCTCTTTAAGTGTGCATCTTTTTTTTTCTTATGCATTTCCTCTATAAAAAATATATATTTCTTTGAAAGCATCATATGCTTTATCGCTATCAATATTTAAATAAACATAAATGAACATTTAATATTTTATTAGTCAGATATTTGCTTTATTTCTCTCATCTCACCATTTTAAAATCTTATTAGAGAAAACTCTTTCTGTGAATGCCGCAGTTGCAGGAATAGAGAGCATACGCCAAATAATTTTAAGTAAATTTAGTAAATCTTTCTAAGTATTTTTAAAAATATTGCCATTTTTGATCTGTAGGCCCATTGTTTATATTTGAAGAAATATAGTATTTTTGCATACTATATTTTTTCCAACAGTAAATATATAGTACGCAGAACCAAAAAATAGTTCAATACTATATATTATAGTACGGTTGGCAACCCTAGCTAGCTGTATGATGAAAAATTCGTTTCCTAAAAATGGACCCGCTGGAATGTAAGTATTTAGAAAATCCGTATTTTTTATAAAATCTGATTCAAATTCATCATGCGTATTTATTTCATGACAAGCAAGAGAAAGGGGACCCAATAGATGGCGCTGCAGCCGAAATATATAGAAACTTTCTATAGAAACCCACACGGGGTTTGGTCTGCTTTGGGGCTATGTTTATCTTAGACGAATTTACCATTCAGATGGACGATTGAATGATGCGTTTAAGTATGCATATAAAGACCGCAACATTCTGTAATCGCATCTTTGTCTAACGTATGGGTGTATGGGGGATACCCTAAATACGATCTTGCGTCTACCTCCGATTGACGAAATTATTAGAGCAGTAAGACTAAAAGAAACCATTCATAATTATTAAGACGAATTGTAAAAGTGCCGAATTGACAAGGAAAGGTTCGACCACAATCCGTCCAAGAAGGAACACGGTAGGTATATCAATGGCTATATTTGAATGAAATTCAAGAGATAACGCGACTAATTTAGCCAATATACGGGGAAACTTTTCATCCTGTGGGACATCGAGGATTCTTGGCCCTCCTGTAACTGAAAATGCGTATCTGTGCTCTTTAGTTTCCTAATAAAAACATTTATTGGCTTTGCAAAGATCTCAGAGGTGGAAATAAGACCATTGGTAAAACTCATAACATCGAAAGGGATTAGCATTCCATATGGAATTACAGCGCTACTATTCTTGGCCTGTGTGAGAGGAGGATTCTGATTTTACTCATTTCAATTTAAACTAAAAATGTTTACTTTACAGACGGCTTTTGCCTTTAAACGTCATTTTTGTATTGGTCAACCGCAAAGCCAGTGGCCTTTGGCTAGTATTACTTATTTTGATTGGGCCAAATTCCTTGCAATTTTGTGTGCTGGGTATGTGGTACTTCGGCCGTTGGAATAGAAAACGCCGCGGCTTATTTAAAATTACCTAACTCTGAATTATTATGAATTTAAGGGAGCTAAAAAGAAAAGCCTTCTCTTCCTGTGCTGCTAATTTATTGATTACATATATGTATGTATATATATATATATTGTTTCTTTATAAATATCATTATTCAAAATAAATTAATTTACAAAGTAATTTCAGTTTTACAAAATAGTAACTGGCTTGATGCTTGTTAATAATTTGGACTCAGTTAGTTTATACAATACAGTGGAGGTTAGTTTATACCAGTGATTCCCAAAGTGGTCCAGGTGGCGTAAAAAATATATGGGGAACCGCAAGTTGTTAGTGGGTTTCCACGAAAATATATCTGGTATATATGGTTGACCACTTCGACCATCGTAGCCACCATGAATTTAAATTTTGGCGTAAAAAGTTTTGTGGTTTAATTGTTTCAAGTTATGTGAGTGATAAATATTTTTCGCGTCACTTTGAAACTCGAAGCGATAAAAATAAATGATGCCATCAACACAAATAAACTATTTTACAAATACGTCACATGCGAGCCGAACATGTGAGGAGATTATGGAGTGCTCTTAAAAATATAACTCCTCAGGGCGAGATAAAACTTTGATGAGTTTACGAGCTCTGTTTTTTAAAACTTGCAAGTGTGTAGTCAAGTTATTTAAATAAATAGAACGCAAGAAAATATTTTATTTTTATTTTTGCCACTCCGAATTCACCCATGATGCGAATTTTCACTGTTAGATCGAATCTTCACATTTTTTTATGAGCTTTGGAAATATGTTAGAAAGGGCATCGGGGGGTCCACCGAAACCAGTAAAGTTTTGAAAGTGTCTACGAGAAAATCAATTTTGGGAACCTCTGGTTTATACATTACGATCGGATGATTTATTACCGGCTCAATTGTTCCACTCTTCAGCTCCTAGGCTTCCGTGTTTGCATTACTTGCAGTTTCATCACTGCTACCTCTGGCGTCTCCGCTGGCGGCATCACTGCTACCACTGTCACTGGTGTCTCCGCTGGCAGAATCACTGCTACCACTGCCGCTGGTGTCTCCGCTGGCGGCATCACTGCTACCACTGTCACTGGTGTCTCCGCTGGCAGCATCACTGCTACCACTGTCACTGGTGTCTCCGCTGGCGGCATCACTGCTGTTACTGCCGCTGGTGTCGCCACTGGTATCAGAATCACCTGCTCCACTTGTAGGAGCTGTATAGCACGCCCCACTAACTGCCGCGAGATCAACAGTTCCACTGATTTTCATGCAAGCTTGAGAGCTCTCATCAAAGTAGTAGGCTGAACCGCAGGAATTGGAACTCTTTTGGACGCCGTTTGAACAAATCAAATATTTGCGACATTCCACATCAACAGCGTTAGCGAATGTATTTTTCGTGAATTGACAACGATCGCAATCTGTTGTCACAGCAGCTTTACGGGTCACACAAGTTTGCTTCACAGTGTCAAAGAAAAAGTTGTTTGTACAAGACTGGCGCGTCCATAGACCGTTTGTACATTTCAAGTAGTCGCTGCAAATGCCAGTAGACTTAAGTGCGCCATTCTCAGTGCAACTGCCAAAGACTTCCACATCCGGTTGCACCTTGACACCAGTGACGTGCGCACAGGTGCTTGCAGTTTTGTAGGAGCAAGTAGCAGATGCAACTTCGTACACCTAAGGGATAGGAATAAAATGTGCTAAAATGTATAGATGTGAATTCACCCTAATTGATTTGTAAAAGAAACTGGTCGAATCGTGCTTCAAAACAATATGTATTTACTTACCAAATCACCTTTGCAAACACCTCCACTCAACTTCTCATTCCTGCAAATTTGCCATTTGGTGCAGTCCATTGTGCTTCCAAAGTATTTGTTATTCGGCAGTACCTGACAGATGGAGGTAAAACTTGCATCCAGTGTGTTCACAGAATTGGCACAGTCGCCATATATACACTCGCCATCGCGGAAAATTAAGTTGTTGCTACAGGTGCCGTTGCTGATTTCTTGACCATTTTTACAGTAGATCCAGCCATTGCAAGAGCCAGTTTTGGGCACGAACACCCCATTTTTGCCAGTGCAGGGTGTTGTTTCACCAAAATAGCAATTGACGTTGGCTGCGGTTAGACAAGTTTGCGAGTTTTTGCTAAATTTTGAGCCGGAAGGACAGGTATAAGCTGTAGCCTTGCCGTTGTTGCAGATGTAGTATTTTAGACAAGATTCGATGCTGCCAATGCGAACGCCATTTGACACCAATGTGCATACGCCATCCACATCGTATTCCGCGGCAATTACGTTTACTAGCACCAGAAGAAGGGTCCCAAATATGAATTGTTTGGCTACTGCCGCATGCGTAAGTGTGAATTTTAGAAATGAAATACAAATATAAAATACTTTGTTAGTGTATATCGAGGGGGGGTACGGCCAAAATGCGATAAATATGATTAAGTATTTTACAAAGAGCATAGAATACAAAGAAGGATCCACGAACGCTCTCATACTAGTCTCATATTCCATCAAGACTTCAGTTGGAATTCCTATTAGGCAGGTACATGAATTGGCTAGCTTCGCCGCAGTTTCATGTTCTGTGATCCTTGTCCTTTATGAAATTGGATGATTTCCTGGTTCGCAATGACAGATTAGAACTACTCACCTAACATTTCCGCGCAGATTTTAAATAGCTAAGATTTGAATTTATTTACGTATTTAGACTAACTGCCTAGTATTGAATATGTCAAGCCGCTTTTATAGTGTCGGCGATTTTATGTACTCTTACCATGCTGCGACCGCGATTATTTTAATTGAAAGATTTAAATTGTCCAATTAAATTTGTGTTGTCTGTTTACCAAAGTAACTAGGTAATTTGCTTCGGGGTTGCCAAAACGATAAGACATCTCTAAGTTTATCTCTGTGCAATTATATAGGGTATGTAGATCAATTGCCTTCACTTTATCTGGACGAAGAAACTCGTGCAATTGATAAAAAAAATTGTATTTACTATTAATTAAATTTGATTCGTGGAAAGATTTATTTATAATTTCCATTATCGGTCAGTTTTTGTAATCTAAATACAGTGACTCAAACAAATGACCATGTTTTGATTTTTTTGTAATATTCGTAATGTTTTTCGAGCCAATTTTTTTTCGGTATTTTTCTATAAAAATACCGTAGAAACTTTATACCTAACCATATAAATCACGGTTCCAAACTTTATACAAAATTCAGGAAAATTGCAAAATTTATCGAAATTTAAACTTTTTGATCCACAAAAATCCGTCACGAAAAAAAAATTCTCAAAAATAATTTTTCAGCCGTGAAATTGTATGTGCTATAAAACTGCATACCTAGAAATGTTCTAAAGGTGCAGATTTATAAGTTGAAATTTTTATGGAAATACATACGTTGAATTTTCTTAAATTTTTATAAAGTTCGAAACTGTGATTTTTATGCTTTTGTTTAAAGCTTATAAATATTGTTATTTTTATAGAAAAATAACAAAAAAAAATATTACTCGAAAAATATTACGCATATTAAAAAAAAAGAAAAATCAACACGCGACCATTTGTTTAAGTCACTGTACGTATAATAATATTTTGGCGTTTACACTGTTGCTAAGTATATGGACGAGTTTCCCATTCAATTTGTGTTGTGCGTCTTGATGTTTTTACCCATATGGAGGGACCTAGAGTTTTACATCGCCTCGGAACGGCAAGTGGATTTTATGATATCCGGGCGTATGGATCGAACCCACGTCCTACGGAGTTGTAGTACACAGCTCAGCACCAGCGGCCGTCAAGAGAGTTAAAATTAGTATAAATATTGTCCATTTCTGTTGTACATACATTGTAAGACCGGACCGGAAAAAAAGTTCGCGGTACACCCCTGAGTTTAAGGTATTTTTGCAAGATTACATTTCTTCGAAATTTTGTAGTCTTTTTTTTAATACAAAAAAGGAGAAATTTTATGTTTTACTTCAAAATAGCATTTTATTGCACTAAAATTCAATGAGCTACAAAATTACATACGAAATTTTTTTGTAAAATGGGTACTTAAAAGTCAAAATTTTTAATAGAAATTTTCACAAAGTTGGGAATTCCAATGTTAGAAGATTTTGTTGTAGTATTACTTCAAATTTCATATAGTTATTTTCGAGAGGACTCCGTGGGAGGACCCAAGCCCCCTTCATTTTTTTGTACCAGCCTCAAATTCAAATTTATTTAAAATTTTCTAGAGCAAACCGTAGATCAATATGCATTATTTGATCGATTCACGGGACGAATAGGAGCTGAAAAATCGAATCGAATCGGTCCAAAAAATATATTGTTATTGTCGTTAATTTAGTCATAGCAATCGATAATATCGTTCTTTTATGAATACATACCTGTGTTCGCCCAGCGGTAGGAATTCTGCCACTAAAATTGTTTGAAGTGAGTTGAATTAATGAGAAGTGAATTGTAGTGAAGTGGATTCAGGTGAGGTGAGCTTAAAGCGGCAGCGTTGATCCGGATTAACTCGTTAGTGCCGAATTATCTCGGGAATTAACTGCAGTTGATCCGGATTAAGTCCTACGAGTTAATTCCCAAACTTAACTCGGATAAAGGGAATATTCGATGCACTTCGATCGAAAAAACGCTGTACCTTAAACGACAAAAGAGTTGAACAAATTTTTTTTTCTCCGAACTGAGAGCGAGCGACTGCTAATCTTAATTTATTTTGCTCGAATAAAATCGGAGCACCAGAAGTAAAAAAAATGCTTATGAAAAAATGTACTAATATGTAGATATAAAAATAAAAAATTTCAAAAACTCCTACCGTTTTTGGATGCAAAGTTGTCCCGCACATTGGCTAAATGACTCGTGTGATCCATTGATATACCTACCGTGCTTCTTCTTGGACGGATGTGGTCGAGTCTTTCCTTGTCGATTAGCCACTTGTGAAATTCGTTTTAATATTTATGAACTGGTTTCTTCGAGTCTCACTGCTGCAATAACGGCCGCCCCGAGCAATTTCCTTAATCGGAGGTAAATGCAAGATCGCATTAAGGGTGTATTAAGGCGTCAGACAAATGTGATCTTACACAATTTCATTTAGCCATCTGAAAAGTAAACACATGGGGTTTCTACATATTGAATCAATTTTCTGCAAAATAAGCGATATGAGAAATTCAGTTTGTATGGGAGGTGCCACGCCCCCTTTTCCAATACCTTCCACTTTGCGTCGTGAGCACAGTATTAACATATATATTTAGGCTGCACATGGCACATACATACTTCCACAAATATATAGTAGATATCTATCCTTATCTTAGCGTAAAATAATTTTTGGGGATATCTCAGCCACAGGGCCACCTATCGTGTAAGTTTTAAGTCCAAATATTTCTATTTCTGTATTCTAAATATGAGCCAGATCGGCAAGAAAATGCAGTTTTTAGGAACGAGTGCATTTTTGGTCAGAATATTTCTTTTCCAGGTGCTGACACATTTTCCAAATATGAACCAAATCGGGCTAGCCGTTTAGTAGTTTAGTGACATTTAATATACAGAAAACTTTATGAAATTATGAAATCGCGACGTCTCAGCATTCTTCATTTTTCGGCAACAACAACAAAAAATTTCAAAATTTTCAAAATCGACAAACCTTCCACACAGAAGGTCCAAAAAAGCACTTTTCACAGAATTGAGATCCGTTCAGCCGTTTCGTCAGGCAGCGCCGTCATACGAAAGACATTTTGTTTATATATATATATAGAAGAAGAAGATAAGATTAATCATTTATCCGGTTGCGGATGAATAATATCCTTGCTATTCCGTTGACATTGTAAGTTTTTCCGCTTGCTCGACGGTTATTTAGGATAAGCAAAATAGCCGATTAGGATAAGCAAAATCAACTCCAACAATCAAACGTGGGTAGAAGTAAAAAATTAGCAAAAGACTTGGTCAACATACAGCTGAGGCGAAGTCAGGACCGGGCTATAAAACATGTACATACTAGGGATGTTTCTAATGTAAAATTTTTTCACATTCGCGTATGTGAATGCGAATGCGAAAAAGCTATAATCAACTAAAGGCATCGTTTTTATTACTTAAAAGTTTTGTAAATTATTAGAACATTGAACGAGTCAAAATCAAAAGGGGCATATTATATTCCAAAAAAAGTAATTTTGCTGCCTTTCTACCATGAGGAGATTTCTTAGAGGCTCGTCGAGGCTGAACAATTGCTCACCTGGAACGCTGGCGGGTGGGGCGCTCAAATATTTGCTGGCCAGATCTCTCAATTTGTTGTATTTTCGTTTAGTTTTCCAACAATCGTAAGGATTTTCACCGAGTTGGGCTCGTTTTTCCTTAAGATAGGCCTTCAATTAAGCTTTAATTTCACATTTTTCAAGTTCAATTTTAACGGATAGGATAGTGTAGTAACCGAGTCCTTGAAAGATTTTGAGGCCGTATGGCAAAAACCTAAAAGAATAAATTTTTTTAGCTATTAAAAATATTTAAATGCGATAATGTTCGATAACAACCGCAATCTTTGTTGAGACTTCAGGATAGGTCGATGCCGAGCTCTTGCCGTGATGCGACATAGGTTTGAAACTAAAGTTTGTCTGTTTTCGCATAAACTTCTCTACAAAGTGCAAACCATAAGTTATAAACTCGATTAATTTTTATTATTTGCATCAAAAAGTTATTTGCATATATGTTTATTGAAACTCCTCTGAAAGTTAAATTACAAATGAGTATATATGTATGTAAATATGTATACACTCTTCTTGCAAGGACTTGAAATTATTTTATTTAGCTGCCTCAGTGGTTGCTTCTGTGGTTGCTGTGCTAGCAGTCGTCTCACCAGATGCTGTGGTATCATCAGTGCTACCACTCGTTGTAGTCGCCGACGACGAGGATTCACTCGTACAGAATACGTAATTCGGATTTTCGGTCACACAACCACCCATATCTTCGTTGAAGTAGTCTCCGGTGGGGCAGGTGCCACTACTCTTTTCAACGCCTTCTACGCAATACAAGTAGCCAGTGCAATTAGTACCAAATGCGTTTACAAATTGGAGATTGGTACCCAAGCAACGATCACAGTCATTGTAAGCAACATTTCTGTTCACGCAAGTCTTTGATACGGTGTCGTAGTACTTGCCGGTACTGCATGTTATCAGCTTCCATTTAGCATTAGTACATTGATAATATTGATTGCAAGCAGTGGCATTTTTGAGTTCCCCCTAGAAAATACGAGTTTAATACAATGTGAGTATTGCGATTCCCACCAACAATTTGAGAGCGAAACATATCGAAATGAATTACTTACACTTGTTGTACATGTGCCACCATCACTAGCTGCATTGACATCCAAATTGGGGTCATTGGTCACCTGCAATTAAAGATTCGCATTTTGTTAGCTAGATGTCAACTTGAAGTTTCCTGACACAAAGCAAATATACCTGGGAACAGTCAACGTTCGCTGGATAGTTACATATCGCGCTCGCCGTATCGAAGACCAAATCGTTACTGCAGGACCCGGTAGTAAAGCTGCTCTCGTTATAGCACTTCTGCCAGCCAGCGCAGCTGAAAGCATTGCCAAAGTAGATTCCCTTTTGGATATACAAACACAAGTTGACAACGGTGTTGGCATCGCTAGAACTAGAATTCTGACAGGGATAGTTGCTTGAATAGTCGCACGATTGGGTCGTCGGGTTGAACAC